GACTGACTGACTGCGAGAGCGAGCACGTACTGACTGACCGCGAGAGCGAGCACGTACTGACTGACTGACTGCGAGAGCGAGCACGCACTGACTGACTGACTGCGAGAGCGAGCACGTACTGACTGACTGACTGCGAGAGCGAGCACGTACTGACTGACTGACTGCGAGAGCGAGCACGTACTGACTGACTGACTGACCGCGAGAGCGAGCACGTACTGACTGACTGACCGCGAGAGCGAGCACGCACTGACTGACTGCGAGAGCGAGCACGCACTGACTGACTGACTGACCGCGAGAGCGAGCACGCACTGACTGACTGACTGACTGCGAGAGCGAGCACGTACTGACTGACTGACTGCGAGAGCGAGCACGTACTGACTGACTGACTGCGAGAGCGAGCACGTCAGTACTGAATTAGGTTAAAGAGGGGAACAGAGTAGCTGTTATTCTGAGAGCAGTAGGTGCAAAAGGATAAAATACACTGAGAGATTTACTATCATTTGATAAACCATCATCCAAAACGTACTCTGAATTAATAACCACATTGAGCTAATAAAAAAAAACAAAAAACAGAAAGATTTCATTTTTAGCATTGAAAAAAGGAGCAAGGCAAGTTTATGAAAGCATTGGGAAATTAGAAGTACATGCATATTTGGAGAGTATTTACAGACTGCAATGAGAGACATGTTTGTGATGGGAATAAATAACGAAAACATTCCAATGAAACTATCTAAAACTTTAGAAATCGCATTGGTAATGAAGCAAGCTACAAAAGCCACATAAATCTTAAGATTAAAGCAAAATAGAGAGTTGATTAAAAAAAAAAAAAAAAAAAGATTTTGGGGGTTTTGAAAGACAACATGTGGAACACTTAGAACAAATGAAAACAGAAGAAATGCAAGAGTAATATCGAATAGACAACCCAAGGTATTGCAATGTCCAGTCTTTTTTAGTAGCCATTTGGTCACAAACACTGGCCAAAGTTAGCGTTAGTATTTGTTTGTGTGTGAAAAATGCAAAAAACGCAAATTTTGGCCAGTGTTTGTGACTAAGTGGCTACTAAGAAAGACTGGACATATCCCGTTTGCAATACCTTGGGTTGTCTACTATTGCAAATGGTATGCCATCATAGGGGTAATTTTCATTCTTCGGCTACCATAGGGTCTCAAAGGCAACGTTACCAATCTGGCGAATTTTAATGTGAAAAAAATGAAACACAAGCCTTATATTTGACGCTGTAACTTTTGAAAACACCATAAAACCTGTACATGAGGGGTACTGTTGTACTCGGGAGACTTCGCTGAATACAAATATTTGTGTTTCAAGGGGTGCGTGTCCGGCGGCCGAGGAAAATGGACGCCCAATGCAGAAGCTCCTCGTGGCGCCCGCAATAAAACAGCCATAACAGCTCATACCGCTCGACCACGCACAAATCATGGGTCGCACACGGAAGCCCACAGACCCCAGCAGCACCCCGAGGTCGTCAGGCAGGAAGGGGGAGCAATCCATCCGCTCCTACCTTCAAGCCACGGCCCGCCCGCGGTCACCGCAACGAGAGATGGAGGAGGTGAGCCAGGGCATGGAGTCCTTCCCCTCCACACCGGCCAGACTGTCACCCACACCCTCATTCAGCTCTGAGCCACAATTAACACAGGAGGGTGAGTGGAGGGCCATACTGCCAAACCTACTAACTAAAGCTGACTTTGAGGCCCTGTCAGACCGCCTGGGCAGGGTAGTGAGGGAGGAGATGGCCCAGCTACGCGCAGACCTGGCCAATGTGGAGGCCCGCATGTCAGTAGCGGAGTCAGAGACCAGAGCGCTCCGCACAGACCTGGAACACACCAACTCCACAGTCACCAGCCAGGAAGCAGACCTAGCCAGCCTCACCTTTTGGGTAGATGACCTGGACAACCGGGGCCGCAGGCTGAACCTGCGCGTCCGCGGGGTGAGGGAAGGTGACCCAGCGGAACACATACCCGACAGCCTAAAGAGGCTGTTTGCTAAGATACTGGGGGACAGCATATACCCAGACTTGGCATAGTAAGGGCACACAGGGCACTGCGACCAATGCCGCCACCAGAAGAACAACCAAGAGATATCATATGCTGCCTAGAAAATTACCAATTGAAAGAAGACATCCTGCGCACGGCCCGACGCATGGGAACCATACGCTTCAAGAATCAAACCATATCGATTTATCAAGACCTATCTAGATACACCCTACAAGCCAGAAGAGTGCTACGCCCAGTAACATCCGCCCTGCAACAGGCAGGAATACCATACCGCTGGGGTTACCCATTCTCACTCTCAGCTAGACACGGCCAGGTTCAACATACGATGAAGAAACCAAGCGACCTCCCAGGTTTCCTTCGAGCCATGGGCATCCCACCGATCCAAGTACCAGGGCCCCCCAAGACTCCAGCAACAGCGACGCAGAGACTGGAACCCAGGCCCGGCACGACAGGAGCAGGAGAACTAACAGAGCACCACGCTGAGAGGAGGGGCTGACAGTCCGGAGACCAACTCGAAACAGGACACAAAGGGCAAACTGTGAGTACTATTTGGGGTGACACACGCACACAGGGGAAAGGGGGGGTAGGGGGGGAAAGGAAACAAAAAACAAAACACCCAAACACGGTACCGCAACTCATGTATATACGCGGGGGAAGGGGAGGGAAAGAGGGAGACACAGCACACAAGCAAGGAAACAGGGGGGGGGGGGGGAACGAGAAAGAGACGAGTGGGCCAAGCCAATAGGAGGATACTGAGAGCAAGGGGTAGACAGAAGGGGGCCCGCGATAACCTATAGGCATAATCCATAGGCACAGCACCCGACAGAATCACTACCCAAGCAAACCACAGATACACGCTAAGCATAGACACCAAAGGAACCATTGGCAGAGATGAACCAACAGGAACCCAACACGAGACCGCCCCAAGGAAACCCCACCCATCACACTAGCGCACGGACAACATGCCACATACGACGCGCACCACACACACGTTGTCAGGCAGTCCACGGACACAACAGGTGACCTAGATACCAAACAGAAGCCAGAGATGGAGTAGGAAATAGAACAACTAGTCACGCTGGAACCACAGGAAATAGGAGAATACAGGGACTGAAACCCAGACACGCCGGACCCACACCCACATCACGCCCATATAATCGGTGTGGCACAGGCAGGAAGGTAGCGCCACCAGTCAAGTTACCCCACTAGAATGACACCACTCACAGGCCCGGATAATAGGGAGGTCCCGACCCCACAAGACCCGGAACTGCAACGAACACACGCCTAGATAGGAACACACGAAGCGAGATCACATGTGAGACAAAAACATACACAAGCTAGGAAGCACCACCGCGGCAGACAGTAGCACGCATGCTACCTAAAAGATGACCCATACAAGCACAATACCGAAGAGAGGGAGCGGATGCTCCAATATCATAGCCACTAAGGAGACATGCGACCACACCCTACATACCGAACCAGGTAACACACCCCTCACCTACACAGCACGGACCGATGTCACAAGGCGGACCAGACACACCGGGGCATAAAGCCCGAAACCCCAATAGGCATAGGACACGAATATCCCCACTCCAAAGGGGACGTACTACACCCGGCACGGACGTAGGCACACCACTTGGTGAGACCTATAGGCCGAATAACCGGGACACCTGTCCATTACCCTACACACCCTCAAAACAACCAACAGCAAGTGCGCACTAAGCCGGAGCCGGAGCCCAAACGACAATAAGACAGCACTGAACCGCAAACACCTACACACACCCGCACCTAGGCCCGCCCCCGTTGCCCCTCCGGGCCACTGCGAGGATGCAGGCACAAGAACCCAACGGCTTCGCAAGAGAGGACCTATGCGTAGTTTCCTACAATGTGCTAGGCCTAAATGTTAGGGAGAAACGAACAAGATTGCTAAGGGACCTAAAACACTACAAAGCAACAATAGCGTTCATCCAAGAAACGCACTTCCAGGAGGGCAGAGCACCAGCTCTAAAAGACCGCAACTACCCAACGGGATACTTCAGCCACAACCAAGATAGACGCACACTGGGAGTCTGCATCCTCTTCTCACGACGAGTCCCTTACGAGGAGCAAGCCACCGTTCGAGGCATGGCAGATATATTTTTACAAAAGGCAAAATAATGGACCAAACATACACGTCCGCCACCATATACGCCCCGAATACGAAACAACACCACTTCCTCCGAAGAACACTAACCACGCTGATGAAATTCACGGAGGGCGCCCTGATCATAGGGGGAGACCTCAACCTGGCGATACACCCGGACCAGGACTCCACCTCGGCACGCGGACACAGCGATCAACAGGCACGCCAACACACTCCGCCACCTCCACCATCTGGCAGACTGCTGGCGAGCACTGCACCCAACTGCACGAGATTATACTTTTTATTCCACGACACACTCGACATATACAAGACTCGATTATTTCCTAGTACCTCACCGCAACCTAGCCCTACTCACCGCGGCAGAAATCCTGCCAATGACTTGGTCAGACCACAGCCCAATCCGCATACGGATTAAGTCGCCACTATACAAACCCAGACAAATGTCGTGGCGACTGAACGAATCGATTCTTTCAGACATCTCGGTCGTAGACCAAATCAACCACCACATACAGGATTACTTCACAGACAACGAGACAGACGACGTCACCCCACTGACAAGCTGGGAAGCACACAAAACAGTCATCAGAGGCAGATTCATCGCGATATGCGCGACCCGCAAAAAGAAGGCGAAACAGACGATACAAGTACTCAGTAAGGAAATCGGGGAACTGGAGGCTAGACACAAACGCACCATGGACATGACGGTATACGAGGAACTCACGACTAAACGGAACCAACTCACCTCACACTTGAACCGTGCAATCCAACGCTCATACCAACACTACAAACATATGATCCATGAACACGGGGACAAGTGTGGGAGACTACTGGCGAACCTCCTGAAGCAACGCCGCAACCAACTGTACATTCCGAAGATTAAAGATGCACACCAACAACTCAGACACCTGCCGCACCAGATCTCGACAGCGTTCCACGACTACTACCAGGATCTATATTGCCTCCGTGAAACAGATCAAGAACTTCAGAGGCCTCAAAGAGATGAGGACATACGCAGATACCTAGACACGGCAAATATACCAGGAATAGAGGAGGTGGACCAGGAAGCCTTAGAGACCCCCATAACATCTGAGGAATTGGCATACGCCATCAAAAAAGCGAAAAGGGGCAGGGCTCCAGGCCCAGACGGCCTACCCCTGCAATACTATAAAACCTTCGCAACGGACCTATTACCGAAACTACTGAAAGCCCTGAACTCAATCCAAGACGGGGCCACACCAACAGCCCAATTCACCTCGGCGAACATCACCCTTCTCCCAAAGGAAGACAAAGACAAGACGCTGTGTCCAAGCTATCGACCGATATCCATACTGAATATGAACCTCAAACTTCTGGCAAGCATACTGGCAGCACGCCTGGCACCACTCCTGCCGACCATAATCCATTCAGATCAAACAGGTTTTATCCCAGGGAGGGAGGTGAAGGACAACACAATCAGAGCCTTAAACGTCATAGCACATGCAAGAGGGCAGAAGACCCCAGTCCTGCTCCTGTCCACAGACGCAGAGAAGGCGTTCGACAGGGTGGACTGGGATCTGATGTTTGAAACACTACGCCACCTGGGCATAGGCCCACACTACGTGACCTGGGTACAGGCGCTCTACACGGAACCAACGGCCCGAATCCGGATCAACGGGGCACTGACAGACCCATTCCAGATCCACAACGGAACCAGACAGGGCTGCCCGCTTTCACCCATACTCTTTGCGCTGACGCTGGAGCCCTTCCTGAGCAGGATCCGACAGAACACGGACGTCCGAGGGCTGACAGTCAGAAACACACACCACAAAACCCTGGCATATGCAGACGATATGCTGTTCGTGGTTACTGACCCGAAAAAAAAAAAAACACAAAAAAAAAAAAAATCGCTACGAGCGATACAGACGGAATTCGACATATACGGCCGCATCTCGAACCTCCGAATCAACTACTCAAAATCGGAAATACTGAACATAAATATCAGCAACACACTCAAGCAAACAATTCAGAGGCAACAACCTTACCGCTGGTGCGACAGCCGAATGAAATACTTAGGGGTCTGGCTCACACCAGACGCGGGGGATCTCTACACCCATAACTACCTCCCGATACTGCGAAAGGCAAAGGAGGAACTACATAGATGGGGTTCCTACTACATGTCTTGGCTGGGCAGAGTGAACGCGGTAAAAATGACGTTATTACCGAAGCTACTTTTCATATTCCAAACGGTACCGATAAGAGCCCCACAAACATTCTTTGCGACACTTAAGACAGAAGTTCGCACTGGAAGGGCAAATCCCCGCGCATAGCACATACCCAACTGATCCTGCCCAAGCTCAAGGTGGGCCTGGCACTTCCCGACTTTGAAAAGTACTACCACGCGGCACACATCGCCAGAGTAGTCTGCTGGTCGGTAGCCAGCGGCGCAAAACCATGGACACAACTAGAAGCGGACATGACCAGATGCGACCTCAGAACCCTACCATGGATTCCCAAAACAACATACAGGAGCAAACATATCACCAACCCGTTCGTGGCGGCAACCATGCAAATATGGCACGGACAAGGCACAAAACACTACCTGACAACGGACCAAAGCCCGCTCCTGCCCCTAAAGGGAAACCCAGATTTCCCGGCAGGGGAATATGGCCCCACACCAGGCCCGCCGGACAGACAGGGGTACCCCGCATGAAAGATGTCCTCCACCACCCGTTTGAAATCAGACCATTGGCGGACATCTACCCAGGCAGACCACACACACACACACACACACACACACACTTGCCCACACCCTAGCAAGAGCCCAAATCACCAAATACGCCGGATCCATCCCGCAGCGACCGGCAATCACGAGGGAACCAACACAATTCGAGAACTTATGCACACAGGACAAGGAACCACCACGAGCCATCTCACAAATATACACTATCCTGATAACGAGCAGATACCTCCTAGCACCACCGTGCATCAGAAAGTGGGAAGAAGACTTGAAGGAGCAGACGACGGAAGCAGATTGGGATAAAAGCATGACCCTGATACAGAAAACACCGAGCTCGGCACGCACACAAGAAAACTCGTATAAGATATTTACCAGATGGTACCTGACACCGACAGCACTTCACGCCAGAAACCTAGAAATCCCTGATACATGCTGGAGATGTTGGGAGGAGACCGGAACGTTCACGCACATATGGTGGACATGCGCCCGCATTAGACCATTCTGGGACAGAATCCGGTCTATAATACAGGAGGTCACAGATGAGCACCTGCCACAATCCCCAGCCTCCTTCCTACTACACCACACAACTATGGCGACACCAACATATAAGAGATCGGTTATCCCAGACTCCTAAACGCGGCCAAAGTGAGTGACTATCCCTATTTACTGGAAGCAAACCAACATACCACCCATAACAAAGTGGATAGAAGAGGTGGAAGCCACAAGGATATTAGAGGACATGAAAGCAGAAACTCCGAACCTCAGAGACCGCCACACCAAACGCTGGTTCCACTGGACGAGAGTGATTACGTCGGACTCATTCAGACATCACATAATCGTGCCATGAAAGTCGACGGGAAGACGAGAAAGAAAGCACTACGAGAACCGAATCAAAGACGGCGAGACACGACGGACCGGACAGGCACGGGAGGCGGACTATCCCAACCTAACCCGCACCCAGACAGCACCACATTAAGACATCGACCGACACTACCTGAGACGAACACTCTACACACAGACAGGATAACAACCACGAAGCAGGCACATGAACACCCACAAAGACATAATCGGGAACAAGGACGGTTAGGACAGTAACAACCGAACCCCCTCCCCCTCATACACGGCAAGCCAAGCACCCACGAAGACAAACACTAGCCCAAACACAACCACGTATACCCAAAGAACCTCGCTGTCAAACCAATAACCATACTCCGAACAAAATCGATGTATACGCACTGAAACACAGACCTCCAGGCAGGCTACAACACAATAAGATAGAGCGACATACCACAGTTAAAACACACGAACCACTGAGATGTACTAGATTACCTGTCAGAGTATTTATATCGGCAGACATTTTTGTGCTATGATAGAAACTAAAAGTGTATATTCTGAGTCACTCTGAACAGACCAGACTCCATTTTGTTATTTCAAGTTAACAAAAAGACACTATATTTCTATCTGTAAGCTAACCACTTTCCCAGAGCTGAGGAATGCATAGTATATACAAGCCAAGTGATAAGGAAGGGGGTTGGACAGACTGTCTAATGCTAATGGAATATAATCAAATCTAAACCCAGACAATTGTGACAGAGAAGATTAAATAATAAAATTTAACTGTCTATAATATATATATATATATATATATATATATATATATATAGTGTACCATTGTATGGAAAAGGGTAAACTTAGTTCATGATCTGTCATATCAGAAATTATAGCAGATTTGCCAGACACATAGTCTGGACAAAATTTAAGAAACCCTTTGATCTTTGAAGGATACGTAAGTTATAGCCACTATCTAGATAGGCCAAAATGACGTCAAAATAGCCACCAGGAAAAGTTAACTCTTTCCTGGATAGGTATGTTTAGTGGGACAAGACTGCCCTCTACAGACCAAATAACTAATTTGCGATCTGGAAGATAACCACACCTCTAGTGCTTCTATTGGGTTATCAACTGATGACGTACAGAGAGTCTGGCCCTTTAAAAGTTAAGACAAAGGGAAGACAGAGGAGGCAGATGCAAGAGATGCAAAGGAGAGGAGAGAGGAATTGGAAGTTTGGGGACTCCAACCTCCATGCAGAGAGACATCCAAATAAGTTCCTGAGACTACCAATCGGATGAAATATCTACTCAACTGGTAATTATACTGGTTTCATTTAATTAAATTAAATTAATTAAAATGTATTAATAGCATTATATATGACTGGATAAAGCACGGTCAGATTTCCATATTAAGAAATCTTAGTTAACTAAGAATATATAGTTATAAACATTCCATTCTGCAGGTGGAATTAAGAATAATTATATATTGATGTGGTATTATCACGTGTTAGCATACCGCTGTTTTTATCCAGGTGTATTGATTTGCTCTAAATTAAGATAAGATATCTTTTAGACAAATTAAAATTAAAATCTGCTTATATAATATTGTAGATTCTCTTATTGGATGATTTCAGGAAATGACTAATGAACTGGGTTAAATGTTATTTTATTTAAAATTACATAAGAATAGATCTTAACTACCTAGGAGATCTAGCCAGCATTGAAAGGGTTATTCTAACTGTCAGCTAAACTTTACGACCTTACGCTGCACTCTGAGGAATTCTGTTCTTCGCTGTGAAAAGTTTCACTTTCAGCCTGTGTTAAAGATAGTCATAAATAATTCTTGACAGGAAATGCTATTTAGCCATTGTAACGTAATACCCATTTCTTTGTATTGCATATAATTTTGTACTGGATATTCATTGATTATTGTCATGCATGTTACATGTTATTATTAATTAATTTGTTATTAAAAATAAAATCTATTTTTATACATTGTGATATTATTTATATGAAATACATTCCACTTAACACGATAAACGTTCTTTGGGATCTGAGAATTGAATTAGTGGGCAATTCTCAACTGTTTACTATTATTATCCCATAAATATCCCCACATACCCATAAACGCACCTTAGCACGCTAAACAGAATACCACACTGACTACACGGACAAAAGCTACACGGAGCCATTCGCACACGGCAATGAAACATTAAATTACACAGCGCAACAGACACGCAGACACGCAAGCAGACAGCAGCCACACACATACATAGTAAGATATGGCACAATATCAGATAATTTCCATTCTAATATGGAGACACAAACAGGAAATCAATAGACCAAACACCACCAACAGAAAAGCGAGATACAACTAGCACATGACCAGAGCAACCAGGGACCAGACACGACGGGGCCCGCAGACACAACCTACACAGGTAACATACGATAAAAAACTCCCAAAACCAGACAAGCCTGAGCGAACGCAACAAAGGCACACCATAAGTCATGCAAATAGACACAGCAAGCAAACAAATCGATACCTATATACTGTATCAAGCAGGCAATAACCAACCAGCCTCTGCGTAGGCGACAAAAAGCTCACAAATGTCTGTATGGAAAACGTATGCCCCTGCGCGGGCAACCAATGCCTCAATACTCGCACTGATGTTACCTGCAAATGCATTACGATAACAATGGAGAAAATTGACAGAGTCAATAATACATGCAGACTCTAACAGACACAACAGAAAGCCGAAAACTCCTAACACACGCAAAACACGCAGGGACCTGCCGAGCACAACATCTACATGATGAGGTCCAAACACATATTATATATTAATGCACAGCTGTCTAAAAACAAATATCCTCCTTATGTTTAAAGTTGGAAGAGCTTCTGTATTTTCGATTATGGCTTAATGACCACATCTAACTAGCAAGCAGATTAACCTGCCTCAGCACAGGCGACAATTTTGCATCTACTTACCAGCAAACACTTGCACACACCAGCTAACACAAAACACCTACTTAACACTCTAACCGAACTACAAAGGCTACACAGTACATAAAAGTATAGAGCACAAAGCAACCGACTGTGAATAAATATCAATAATAAAAAATAAATAAAAAAAATATATAAATAAAAAAAAAAATTAAAAAAAATAAAAAGTTAAGCTAAACAGCCTAAGATGGATCCGCCTCTGCGCAGGCAACCAAAGGTATATACTGTGTTAACCAATGCTTAAGCCCCTGCGTGGGCAATCACTTGCTTTATTACAAAACAGTTTGACGTATGAACTTATGTTATGCATACAATAAAAATATTCAAAATAATTATTTGTGTTTCAAAACAGTAAAAAGTATCGCAGCAATAATATCATCCGTGTAAGTGCTGTTTGTGCGTGAAAAATGCAAAAAAATGTCACTTTTACTGGCGATAGCATCATTGTAATACATTTTACTGTTTTGAAACACTAATATTTGTGTTCAGCGAAGTCTCCCGAGTAGAACAGTACCCCCCATGTAGAGGTTTTATGGTGTCTTGGAAAGTTACAGGGTTAAATATAGTGCTAGCAAATTAAATTCCCTTTACTTTCGGCATGGGTTGTCAGGCAGGTCCCGCTAATTGTAATTAATTAAGATACCTAATTATGTAAAAATATTACATAAATATATATATGTAGAATTAATATATGTGTATGTATATGTGTGTGTGTGTATATATATATATATATATATATATATATATATATATATATATATATATATATATATATATATATATATATATATACACACACACACATACATACATATACACACACACACATACACATATATATAATTTTTTTAATATTTTTATTTATATATAGTGATATATAAGTTTATATTTATGTATCTATTTTGAGATATATATATATATATATATCACAATACAGTTAGAACGAAGTAACACACATCTATATATTTTTTAATTATTTTTTTATTTTATTTTTTAACGTATTTACATATTTAATTTTTTTTATATTATAATATATATATATATATATATAACAATAATTATATATATTTAATCAATATCAGTCTACGTGTAATTTGATATTAATATATATATATTAATAGTAAAATACACCTAGACAGTGTATGTATATATATATATATATATATATATATATATATTTAGATCACACACACACACACACACACACACACACACACACACACACACACACACACACATATATACATATACATGTGTTCGGGGCATTCTCATTGGATATGAAATACGCTGGTGGAGAGGAATAACATAAAAGGAAATAGTCGGTTGAGGTGTGCCGAAACCGATGTATGCTGTAGGCCGGTAAATAAAGTGGGCCCACATAGAGGAAAGTATAGCTAATGGGAGTGGAGGGTGGGCCTGTTCGTCCAGACCAACGAAGGTAAGTAAAGGAAGGGGGGAGTCCCTTATGTAGGTCTATAGCCCCTCCCACAACTTCAGGCCATGCCTTCCAATTTGTGTTCGGGGCATTCTCATTGGATATGAAATACGCTGGTGGAGAGGAATAACAAAAGGAAATAGTCGGTTGAGGTGTGCCGAAACCGATGTATGCTGTAGGCCGGTAAATAAAGTGGGCAAAAAGAGATAAATCAAAGATAACATTTAATCAGAAAACATAGTACATCATTACATATTTAAATAGACATTTTAATAAAAGCCCTCCTAATCTCTTGGACTGGGTTTGGAATGTATGTGGTGTAAGCCGAGGACTTCCAGCGACCTAGTGTCTTAATTACGTGTGCTGGGATGTCTTGGCTAGATGCCGTGGAGGCCACTCCAATTCTGAAGGAGTGCCCAGAGTAGTTGCTAGGATTAAGACCAAGTCTGGTGATAAGCATACGGACCTAAAGCATGAATTTTGCCGTGGTTAGAATTGCATCGTGTAGCTTTAGTAGTGGTTTTGTGGTGCGTGTTGATGTTGTAGCTAAGAATGCGTCCAGTACTTGCACCGGACACCAATTGTTCCCTGTGGGGTAGTAGGTTATGTGAACCGGTTCCCCCCTCTGACTTGTTTTGGTCTTAGGTAGGGTCAGGACGTAGTAGTCTGTGTGTTTCTGGAGGTAGGAGGTGAGGAGGCACCCTTGGCTATGGTGCTGGCCACTAATGGTGAATTCTCTTGGTCTAAGAAACCCATAGAACGCTAGATAAATGGCAATGATAATGACCGCATTCGTATGGGGTTCAAATGGAGCCTGGTCGAGAAGGTCGGACAAGGATTTGAACATTTTAATGTCAATGGCAAGTCTCTTGGGAGTTG